TTTGTCAATTGAGGGTATGTTCATTGAATTTGTTTATTTTTTTGTATATCCAATGATCTAATCGAAATAAAATATATGAAATAAAAGTACATGTTAAGCTGTATGATAGGTGTAAGTTTGAGTTTGATTTGTATTCATTATCATCAAGAATTAGATTAAAAAAAATCTGCCACAACTTATGGGACACCCTGTATCTATATTTTATTTGTTCGAATTAATTATTTGTCGTCATATTCAGATAATGTTAACACTTGATGGACTAACATGAAATAAAAAATTCTTACCAAAATATATATTATTTATTTTAGAAATATGATTACGAACAAAAACAAATAAAGATAATAAATAAAATGAGAATCTTTGTGCACTTAGAAAATATTTATTTGCTAAAATAAATTATACAATAAGAATACCAATCGATAATATTTAACAATATTTGAATAATCTTTACCATGTTGGTGGAAATTTTATACATAAATGAGTGAAAAAATGAATTGTCCCAGGGTTTATAAGATAAATGTCATACTCAAAACTTGAATTCAATTGAAATTTCGACTTTTAACTTTCAAACCAAAATTACTTTAAAGAATCACGAGTAACACTTAAACTTATAATTTTAAATGAATTCAACTTTAAGATTTGACATTACTGAGATTTAAAACTAAAAATTGATATATAAATAGTTAAGAATGTAACTAAAAACAAATTCTTATCATTGATGATGTCATACATATGTTTTCATTTTTGTCTTTAATTTAAATGTGAGAATAAGCATATTGAAAATTTAATTAAAAAAATAAAAAATATCAAAATATTTTAAACCAAAAAAGAAAATAATTCAAACTATGAAATATATTAAACAATAAAACTCTAGTTTATACATTTGTTTTAAGTATTTAAGATGAATTGAGTGTGAATTTAATTATAAAAAAGACAATTGATTGAATTTAAATATACAGAAGAATTGATTTTCTTTATATAAATAAGAATAAAATGAATTCTAAAGAAACATATATTATTAATCAAAATCTAGATTTGATATTTTGTTGCATAAATTAATGTTCAAGAGAATCTTTTCTTCTCTTTCAAAACATTACATTTTCGAGTAATAAAAAACTAGGAGGTTTAATTATTCTTTTTTATTTTCCGTTTCTAGACGAGTTTGTATGTTTATCAATAGTACACTTTTTTAAAATTATTACAAAACTTTCATCATTATATGATGTGCATCAACAAGTGTATTAATTAAACCAAAAATAAATGATCTATGTTTTTTTTTCTTTGTCAACACAATGATTATTATCAAACGAAGTAAATTAAAATAATTAAAATGCATCAATAGCAGACAATATTTATATTAAACATTGATTATGATATTAAAATGCTCAACCATATTTAATATCATTTATAGATTCTATATTAATTTATTTTTATACAATACAAATTAATCTTTATTTATAATGTCAATTCTCATCTGATTCTATATGTGATTTTTATTATCTTTTATCATATTTATATTAAGAATAATTTTTGAAAAATATTTCGACAAAAAGAAAGTCATTTATTAATTGAAATTTAATTAAAAGTTTTCTTCTTTGTTCAAAAAAACAAAAGATTATCCAACATAAATCAAATATCGATTACTTAATCGAACATATAAAATAATATCTGATTGTACATTATCGAAAACTATATGATTAATTTTCGAATATCTTTATCAATGACATGATTTTATCATAGCAAATAAACAACAAAAATTAATTATTAGAATTATATTGAAATTTATTTAAACCAAATAAACAATCATTTTCTTATATCATTTTATGATCTCGACTATCTTTTTTATTTAAAAAACAACTTATATATACACATAAGATTTTTATCGATATGATTTACATCAAATAGTTAAAATACTATGGGGTTTAGCAATATTTTGTTTCTCTATTCAAATATGAAGGCATTTTGGAGAATAACGTTATCGATAAATATAAATAAATTAGAGAGATATGTTTAAACAATTATTCTTTATTATTATTTTCTATTGATTTATGAAAACATTTAGATAAACTAATTGATTATGTTGAACGTATATAATTTATTGTTCTTGATGATTAATTAAGAAGACATTTTAAAAAAACATAGATTTCATTTTTCAGTTTCAATTAATCCATTAAATCAATTTCATCTTGAAAGGAATAAACAATAAATAATTTAACAAAACAATTGAAAAACAATAGTAGAAACAAAATGAAAAAATAAATTAAATTTTATCTAATGTTTTCTTCTGAAAATAGACTATGGATTCGTCGTATAACAATATTTATATTAAATGTCCTTCGATTGTTTTTTGATTATCGATTTTCAAATAAATCTATTCGATTTTTATTAAAATATATTGCTGATTAATATACACAAACATGTTCAATATTAAAAATATAAATGCAGAATCTTCCGCTACAATGAAAAATTTTCTCGACTATAAAACTCAATTAAAGATCTTTTTTGAAAATTCTAAGATTTTTCTGTGAAACGAGAAAGTAAGGAGAATCCACACCCGAAATAGCGAATTTTATTTTCTATGAAAATTTCGACTTTCCTATTTTAAATAAGTTTTTCATGTTACAGCAATATCAGCAACATAAACATCTATTCAATCTTATCAATGCGAAGTATGAAAAAAGCAAAAAAAAACTTATAGAAAATTTTTAGGAACTAATCTATTGAATTCTAAAAAAAGATACAATATTTGACACAAAGTTTTGCATCTTTCGCTGTGACTTTGAAACTTCTACAAAAGAATAATTGAGAGGAAAAATTCCGAAATAGAAAATGCTGGAGCACCAAAAGATAAAGTTACCTATTAACAAATCTGAGTTGTTGTTTTTTCCTAATTTAAAATAGTCTAAAAGATTCAACGGTTCAAGTGAATACTTGCACCATTTTATTCAGAATTTGATTGAGCATTCGATGGCACGACAATCAACTGTGTATACGACGAGTCGGACTTTTGATAAGAGAATTTTTCATAATGCATTCATCAATATTCTTAGATGTTACTTTCCAGCTTTATTCTTCTCAAACTAAACACTTAGAAAGATGATAAACTTAAGATCACCACATACAACAAATAATTCTTTAACTTTTACCATTTGTTTTAATGAGCACATGCTGTGACACATATTGATTTTTATCTGTAGTTAAATAGAAATTTTCATAGTTTGACAATTGAATAGGCTTTAATCTTATGAAGTTGACACTTGTATGAATACTTTCTTTGAAAAAAAAAGTCGGTAGATTTGTAGAGAATTAAATTTTCTATCCAACAAGATTAGAACTAAAGTTTGAACAAGTATTTAATGTCTCAAAGACAGAAAATAAAAGTGGAACATGGATTATGGAACATCGATTATTTTTCAAGAAATTTTTTCGAATGCTAATATATTTTCAATGATTATTCTGAAAGACCGTTCGCCCACGCGGCTAGATTCGACATCTCGGATTAGAAACAAGTTCAAATAATCTATTTAATTAAATATATCGAAAATTGAGTATACGTTATTTATTATTCAGTTGAAAAATTTTATATGATTCTATATTAACATAAATTTAAAGTAATTATTGATTACTATTATCAGTTAATCTTATTTCATATATGTTTTAATAATTGACTAATAGAACTTATCTTCCTATTAATATTGAATATTTAGCACAATTGATTTTGACCAAGTCTTACCTATGAGAAGTATTTTTCTCTCAATCAGAATAGTAAAGTATGCACATTTTCTTCGCTATCTGTCACCTTTACTTACTTGAAAAGAATTGTTTAATTTCGATTTTATTCGATCGTTTATTTTCTCGTCATGATCTTTATATAACATCATCATTACAAATTCTAATTGAACTCGAAGTTTTTTCGTTTAAAACAAATTCAAATAATTAATGAGTTCAATTAAACTACGAATAAATACCTTGATTAATATATCTTTCTAGTTTATTACGATCGTTAGAATAATTAGACAAATACATATTATTTATCTGATGAATATTTTCTTAGATGGTTTTAAATATATCATTCATAAGTTATGGTTACACGAAATAAATTATATGATATTGAAAATAATAAATTAAACTGTAATTTTGATTTAGATTTCCAAATTTAAATGGTTTTATTTTACATAAATTTATATAATTTTTTTTTATTATCAATATTTAAAGATAATATATCTTAGGTATAAATGATAATTTCAGACAAAAATAATTCTATGAATTTATCTTGAAAAACTTTTAATACTTTGTGAATATTCTAAAAAAAAGATAGAATGCTCTTTATATTAATGTTCAACAAAAATGAAACATCAATAATCAATTCATCAATATAAATTGTCTTCTTTTAATATTTGGAAGTATTTATATATAATTATAGCGAGCAAATAAAAAGGGTGTGGGTGTGGGGTGTGGGTGGTGTGGGTGTGGGTGTTGTGGGTGTGGGTGTTGGGATCAGTCTTTTTTCTACCGACATCCCACACCCTCACCCACACCCACACCCACCCACCCCCACGCACACCCCACCCCACCCACACCCACACCCACCCACACCCGACCCCACCCACCCCCACACACCCCACACCTCACACCCACCCACACCCCACACCCACACCCAAGGGAAAAACATGATACTTCTGTACTTAAAGTACCATGAAGTATCTTAAAGTACCTTGAAGTATCTTAAAGTACGTTAAAGTATCTTAAAGTATTTTAAAGTACCTTTAAGTACTTTTAAGTAGCTTTAAGTATCTTATAGTACAAGGAAGTATCATAGTGAAGAGAACAACAAAGCTCAGATCTACATGGTGTTGAATGAAATGCGTCCTGCTATATATTATATCATAATCAGGTATCTGAAATAAGGAACAAGTTCTCTGAAGTGGAAAACACAATAAAGATTTATTCTGATGAACAGTTTTTGAAAAAGTGATACAAAAATACAAAATATTGATGTGTCACATATTATTGTCACTTGTTTGTATAACACGAGATAAACGATCAGCAGATATATATGCATTTTCGTCTGTTAACAACCAGCATGCCGATTGTTTATGTAGATATTTTGTTTTATTATTAATTTTAATTTTGAAATAAGACTTGAGATCTTCCGAGTCAATATTGTCTCGGATGTTTATACCTTGAAAATCTGTTCTAGTTGATGTCATATTTGGTTCATCATCATCAATATCTATCAATTCGTGAAGCATCGGATCAGCAACATCACTACTGTCATCGTCATCTTCATCATCATCTACAGAATAATCATAATCGTCATCATCACTCTCGTCCATTTCCCAATCAAAATCATGAATGTTGTTAAAATCACTTGGTGTTAGTGTTGTATCATCAAACAATCTTGATTTATCTTTTAAATTGTTATATACATATTGACTTAACATGTCCATTTCAAGAATATTGTGCTAGGTGTGGGTGTGGGTGTGTGGGTGTGGGTGTGTGGGTGTGTGTGGGTGTGGGTGTGGGTGTGGGTGTGGGTGTGGGTGTGGGTGTGGGTGTGAGGGTGTTTATCTTTTGTCTCATCAGCAACCAACACCACACCCACACCCACACCCACACCCTCACACCCATACCCACACCCACACCCACCCACATCCACCCACACCCTCTAGTTCGTGGGAAACTAAACGGAGAATCTAATGAAAATAAGATCAACAAAATACAATGAAACAAACAAAAGCAAATCAAAAAATACTAAGAGATCGATAGTTTTGCTGAAGTCAATTCCAGCAGTTTTTACAGACTATATTTTAATGCTGTTCGAAGTTGTGCTCATTACTCCAAGTGGTTACATGATAGAATGGTTTTGAATATACAATTAGAAATAGTGGCGTAGCCACCTGGGGAGGGGAGACCACGTGGGCGCGATGCTCCGTGTAAATAGTTCCGCCCCCTCTGTAAAATTTTTATCGAAAAATGGCGGATTCTTCTATGTTTTCACCATAAGATGTTGTGGTGGCCTTAGAGAATATGTGACATCACGCGATAGAAGAAATAAAGACTTCATCTGAGAGAAACTCGATTTTTATTACGATACTCGATCAGCAACTCTGTCAACTTTGCAAAATGGTATCCTCACTATTTTTAAATTTTCCAAAACTTTCGGTATTTTTTTAACTACAGCGTTTTGTATGAAATCAGGACCAATAAATAATAAGTTTGAATATTTCTAGATAGGAAACTTTTCTAAACTGGCTGCCAAAACATTTTTACTTTCTCAAATGCTTTAGTCGAAAATCTTGTCAAAACCTACATGGACAAAAAGTTGAGTAGTCCGTTCCTTTTATTCATAAAATTGGTGCGGTTCCAGATCTCTGGGTGTTTGAAAAAGCTTACAAAAGAAAGTAAAAATTCTATCTTGACCCTGGAAAAGTTTCCGCTTCGGAAAAAGGTGTTTAACCCTTTGAGGACGGAATTTTTTCTGAATCGAAAAGCAGTTCTTCAATTATTTTATTTTATTTGGCTCAAAAAGAATTGCATAAAAATCGAAGTCACGCTTGTTTCTGTCACATTAGGATGTGAAAGTCCAGACTCGAATTCGTTTTTTTTCCTATCGAATTCCATTTGTTTAGTTTTAATTGTAAAAAAGGTATAAAGAAATAAAGAGTACAAGTTCGAAAGAGAAATGATATGCTTTGCAAATTCAAGAACAATGTAAATTCGTCAATGAGAATGGGAATATATATACCCAATAGAGAATGCGAATATTCTCGAAAAACAAAAGATCAGAGGAGAAGAAAGAAATTATGACGTCACTGTACCTCAGCAGCAAGAACAAGGGTTATTTGAAAAGAATTTATATGAGAGAAGGAAAAAAAGAAAAGAAAAGTATGAGATGACAAATGTAGTTGTTTATGACTTTAATGACCTTACATATTTAATAGTTTAATGTGAAATAAACACTTTTTTCTTTACTGAAAAATAGGAGGTCCAAAAATGAGCCACCCGTCCTCAAAGGATTAAAATACTTCTTAATAATTACAACCATTTCGTTATCATTATCAGACTATTCATTGGCAAGATGAATGAATAAATCATCTAATAGAAGATATGAATATAAGTACAGAAGAAGAAATCGATGTAATAACAACATGTTATAGTCTAGTTCCACATTTCCTCCTCAATAAATTTAATAATATTTATAAACATGTGTATCAAGTATGTGAGTTCTTTAATTTCTTATTTTTTTACTACTCGATCGCTTATGATGTTTGTGAAGAATTATGCTGATGATAAGGTTTTCTTTTCGTCTTAACTCATATCGATTACTTCCCATTATCACAATCAAAAATATCTTTTGCACACTACTTTTGTTTATTTTCTCGAACATCTTGAAAAAAACATCATCACAGTTTAGTGTTCTAATGAGGTAACTGGTTTTCCTCTGGAATTTTTCACTTGGTTCGGATCATCAAGAACATCGATTTCTGGATCAATAGCACCAACTAATGCCTTAACAACATAATCCCCAATTGAAAAAGGGTAGTTTGGTCCACGATATTGACGAATTTTGATCTCGTTCGGTTCTGAAATCATCAACAATATCAATATGCTCCATTGTTCGATCCCATTCATTCAAATAACTGATGCAAGCTGGATCATCAGTGCATAATAAAAATGTCACATAAGTAGTTTCAACTCGTCGTTTTTCACGCATGACGCGTTTAAGTTCAGGCACATTCTCTTTTGCCTTTATCATCTATTGGAGCTTCATCAGTCGCTACGAATACCAGTAACTTTTTGTCACATCCACGACGAGAGGGTGGTAATTGAAAGATATAATCGAGAACAGCGGCTAGTGGTGTGAAACCACTTGGACGTAAGAGAACACTCGATCGACATCGTTAGGATTTGTGATGTTAAGATAAGATGGTCGATTAAGAAAGAAAATATCGACACCATTCGAATCAAATATTGTACTAATTTCAAGTACAATTTTGACAATCGAACAAAGTTCATCCCATCGAGTGCGAGCAGTGCCGTCGATAGGCGTCATCGTTGAACCAGAATCATCACAAAGAATGACGATTTCGAAATCTTCAAGTAAGCGAAGACGTTCAACCATTGTTTCTTGAATCTCATATTTAATCCTTGTACGACCAAGCTTTTTAAAGCACTGTAGTGTGCTGTCAGACCTCAGATGACTCACACTGTATTAGCAGATTATGCACTTGATGGGTGAATTTCGGACCTATGAATTCTATGCTATAATCTAGATATAAAAAAATTCTACTTTAAATTTACAATCAAATGAAACACTTCCTATTGCTAGTTCTTTTCAGATTCACAATATATATCAATTCGTAAGACACCAGAGATGGGACCGGTTCGGTTTTTAACCGAACCGAAGCGACCGACCGTAACCGAAATCGGTTCGGTTGGAGATTTTTAGAGAATTCGGTCGGTTACGTTCGGTTCGGTTAGAGACTTTTTCGGTTACGGTCGGTTCGGTTAGAAATTTTAAAAAATCCGGTCGGTTATGTTCGGTTCGGTTAGAAAGAATCAACATAATCGTTT